TAACATCTCTGCTTACACCATGTGGCCCACAGGAAATTCCCTCTCTGTTCACTTATGAAAGTATTTCAAGGCCAATTTCGAGCTATAGGAAAGCAGGAGGGTTACTCTGGTCAAGCCATTCTTCTTTATGCTCCCGCAGATCATGTGCAAATATGATGTCCATTTTCATATTATGGCATGAGAGTTTCATATTTTCTAACTCCTTTAGAAATGCTTTCCTCTTCACTTACCCTGTGCATTCTGTTCTACTTTGCTAGATTATTTTTATGTGAAGAAAATGGTCCATGTATTGTAATTATACAACAATTTAATTTTATATATTCCAGGATTTTTAGCTCATATTCTTTCACATACTGAATACTTGAAGTGCCTTCCAAGCATTACTGGCCTGACAACTTAAACATCCCTAGAAAATACCAAATTATTAAATGAAGCACAAGATGCATAAGCAATAAAATAACTAAGCATATGTTAACAATTCACCTTCTTCATTTGTATCAGGAAACAATCGATAAAGTCCCGAGGATTGTGAACATCTAATGATTCTTCGTGTTCTTTTATCTTCTCCAAAATATAACTTCTTATATAACGTGTATTTTTAATTATTGTTTTATGACTTCCTGGAAGATAATGAATGAGAGCAGGGAGAGCATTGTAGACCTGCAGGAAAGGAAACAATACTTTATGAAATAAGAAATATATGGTGAAGAAATATACAACATGTAGCAAAATTATTAAAAAGCATAACTATGAATTAGATAGAGAAGGTGGTCATCTTGAGGGGGAAATTTTTATCATAAATATACAGCAATTATCTACCTTGGTAAGAAGACTGGGGATGGGTTCTGCCCAAAGATTAAAGGTGATAATGGTTTCCAAGACACACACTATTTTTAGTATGAAAACATTTTTATCAATTAATTTTTATACCAATTTATACAACCTTGAAATATAACAGGCCATAAATTACTAGCATTTCAGTTGTACAGGTGACAGCAAAAGTTAAGTGAGTTTGTTTAACATGATTTAGAACACAAAACTAGTACTGCAGTCTTTATTTCTTTCAAGCAGCCTTAGACGTGGAGTCAGTATTCTAGAGTGAGACCAGCTCAAAGATACTTGAAAGGCCAGTTGTGCACAAGAGCATTAAACTGACTTTGCCAGATTCACAGTTATTACTTATGCAAAGAGCTGCGCAACATACCAGCTCAATGCAAATTAGAGATGTGATGATTTTTCTGGTTTATACCATTAAAACAATCTTTTGGTCATACTTAACAGTGTTACCTTGTCAACTAAGATCCTAGCAGGTGTATGAAACATTCTTACTCCATTCAGTGATTTCTGGTTGCTATTATTGTCCTAAATAGTTTTCCTACTTGAAGAGATTATTTTGGCCTAAATTGCAGTATTTCTGCCAAGCTATATAGTGAAGAGATCTCTAAGTGTTGATTAAAGTATAGCTTTCTTGGTGTAACTTTTCAAAAACTACCATGATGTCCATTGCATGAGACTGTCATCCTTTTTTACAGGTCACAAAGTGCTTCACAAAATCAGCTCTTTATGATTTAAAGGAAAAATCAAGGTTAAATGGTGTAACAAGCTTGAATGCCAGCCCTATATTTAGGTATTCACTTTCCTGTGTGTATATTGAAGGACTCAGGTGCCTTCTGCAGATGTTTTCTCTACAATGCTCTAGGCAGAA